TATGAGAGTGTATGAACACTAAATTCTATCTAAGCGGCACGACCAACTCTCATTCTTCTCCGTATACGAAGCTCAGAAAAAGCATAAATTTAACTGAGAAAATGTCCGAATACTAGTTTGAGCAAAAATAAACGACAAACGGAACTTTACGGAGGTTGCGTTCTCAAATGAGTAGGCCAATAATAGACACACTGGGATTTACCCATTCTATCAAATTATCAGGATCGAAGAACTCCGCGACAATGGAGCTAAACACCGTAAAAAGTCCAGAGGGGGAAACAATAAAAGTTGTTAATTGGATAAAATCATTATCACCGAAGCGCACATTCGATTCACCAAATCCGAAGAACTAACAGGATAACGCGGTTAAATTGCATCGAAAGAAAATTTGCAATCAGGGAGGTCGGGTAGATCAGAACACGGCGTAACAGAATTGGAAAACGGGCCAGTTGACCCAGCAGATAAAGCTACTAAAAATTAATCAGATATCAAAATAGCTGACTGAGACTCGCCAAAGATGAACTGCAGAACGGGCCAAACGAAAATAAAACTATTGAAATGAAGGTGCTCAACGAATCAACTAGACGCACGGTAAACGGGCCAGGAGGCAACCAAAATTCTGAAGAGACGAGTCACACTGTCCACTGGCAAACCGTCAGATACCACACATTACAAATAATAAACGCTCTTTGCAGAAAAATATAAACCAGCACAGGTTTGAGGAGACTGCCCACCTAGGCATTCAGTGGCAATGCTTCCTCTCATGATGACATGAACAGATCGAACTTCCTCCGACATCAGCCAATGAACTCACCCCAAATATCAACGCTCAACTTCTGGTTAAAAATCTTCAGGAGTATATTATAAATATTTTGTCTGCCAATTTACCCCTGGCGCCTCCGTAGGTGGATGGTGTACATTTGATTTATCGCGTTGTTGTTCTGCCGTTCAAGATGTATGGGATGTTAATTCCGTCACCGAATTCACACTTGCGGATGAGCCGTATGAACTACTTTGAGCAGGAGAAGTGTACGTTGCTATTGATTGCACTGGGTAAACGGAAGGACGGGTCGGAGGAACCGCGGTTGCGGAAAAGTAAGGATTTATCGAAGTAGATTACTGAATATGACCCGGATTTGTCGTGAGCAAGTGTTCTGAGCATGGCAGGGCAGCGAACAAAGCCGGTTGTTGTGATTTAGCAACCTCAACCTCAGGTATTTGGTTCACCTGGCCGAACTGGCCACAAACATCATTGGTGATACGAACAGAGTTTGGCCATCCAAATGAAGGTGGGGAATCAATCGAACCGGATTCACCCGGGTGTGCAGAAGGACGAAGACCAGAACACGGATCCCCGTTTTTCACTTGCGCGTGTCGTTGTGAGGATGAAAGACTCGTGGCCAGAGTAATGCTCAGGTTAGGCCGAGTAGCGTTAGGATACACCTTCGCAGGTAAGGGTGCACCAGCGTTCATTTCATTCCACTGTGGCGGGCAAGGAGGCTTTGTTCTAAGGGTTAAAGAAGTGGAGCTGCTAATTGCTATTTAAAAAGTGCTAAATGCATCGGTGGAGGACAAAGGTAAAGATGAAGAAGCCCCTGAATCCCGACAGGTGGATGGTGGTGAAATGACTTGTTGTTCTGGGTTTTGCTGGTATAATGGCGAATGATCGGAAAGCGAGTATTGTAAGCCAGTTTCGCTGATAATCGGAGCGGCCGAATAGACCATGGACTGAGAACGTGTGTTACCAGGTGAAACCACCTTACGGAGTGCATCCATTATTTTCACTCAAATTCGGCCTTGTACATCTAGTAGATTGATCAAGACTGAGGGTACAAACGAATCGACTCAGAACACTGGATAAATTATAAGCTCATTGATTAATGTATAGTTTCATCTGTTTCGTCTGTTTTCAACTTTGAACGTTTGTCTTCAGCTAGCTAGCCAGCTAAAGCAGTATTTAAAGATCCTGTTGTAAACCTCCCACGGGGTTCCAATAGCTAATTAGTGCTAATTAGTTCGGATGCTGCTCGCATCACGAAAACGTATCCAGCAGGCACGTGACCAATTTGGCGTCAGTGATAGGTTACTGATGTAAAAGCCGGCCGACACAACAACGTTACGATTTTTCCGTATTTGTCTCACAAATAGCACACCATGAAAGCCTACAGTTGAGAGAGGACAGTTTCGGTCATTAAGATGTTACAAAGGTGAAAAGGTCTTGAGCGCATGAAAACAAAAACCCTTTTCCGTATGATCTTTTCAAATTTCCTGCCCCATGTTATCTTTATCTATTTAATCGCTTTTGTCATCCCTCCAAAAATCTACTGCATTTTTGGTTCCTCAAGCTCCGAAATGGTGTCTGTAAATGACTTCTGGGGGTATAAGATTGTTTGGCGGTATGTCGGTTTGCATTCTGACACCCCGTCGAACCACGATGCATTGTCAGACCAGTACTCCTTGGTACTATCAACCAGGCTAATGGTGAAGTGTCGGTAACAAGAAACCTCAGCTCATCAAATAGTTTGAACATAACACAGCAGGTGAACTGAAATACCACAAAAAGAGAGCAGCGTATCATGTCAAAATACAATTCTCGTCTTGTGGTTTTAAGCACACAGTGAGTACATAATTAAAGCATATGGCAATGAAAGGAGATTAGTACCCTACCATGCACAGAAGTACTGACTTTTGTTTGGTAAACCTGATTTATGAGTGATTATATTATGATTATTTACAGGAGCGCAGGTAGTGCTAAAATGCAAGGCTTCACAAATTTATGTAGAAATGCTAACATTTAGGTCGTAGGTCATTGCTATAGTAAAAACATAGTAAAAGAGACTCTTGATGCAAACACGTTTGATAGACGAATGGTCAGACTTATGATTACAGACGCCCACAACGCAATGTTTGACCTCATTTGTTTTCCACTGATGTTTTCGAGTAGATATTATCCTCACTTCGGAAATACCGGACAAACAGCTGATCGCAATCAGAACCTTGTTGCAGCGACTTTTTGGTTTCTCTTATTGCACATCTTTTTGACTATATGGAGGTTCAATTCCGCGGTGAATATCTTTCCAAATATCAAGTATTCAGTATCCTAGGGCGAGATGGCTCAGTGGTTAGAGTGCGAATTTACTGACCGGAAGGTTCGTGGTTCGAACCCGACCTGTATCTCGGCCTCCCTTGTCTAGGCTTAGGCAACCTGGCAGCATCCCAGACCTCGTGTTTCCCGCTGTTGGCATGGCATCTAGACACCAAAAGTGTTACAGCCAAACCATTTTTCTTGATTTTTTCATTCTAGACTACAGCACAAAGTAGAATCTGTCGTTTTATTTTAGACCACATAACGCTCGTAAGGATTTTCGGATTTTTAACTCCTTGAGCTATTTGTCGCAGCTGCCGAAGTCAATGTGAATACTTATATCTTACTGCAGAAGAATATATGACAACCTTGATGAGCTGATAACTGTCTATTAACCCAAATCAGAACTAAAATGCAGTTCCTATCAGTTAATTCTGTCAAGGTGAACGGCCCTACTAAAGTCACATTTATGTATCTCCTGAAGGATAAGGTATCAGGAAAACAACTCAAATCCAAGTGACCGTATTTCCTATCGGGTTATCAGGTTGAGAAATCAGTCGACCAGTGGTTTTTGCTAACAACAACCATCAGAGGTTTCGTCGAAGAAACAAGACGTGCCTCAGTTCCATCCCATTCCATCCACATAAGTCGCCACGATGCACAACATACTCATTGACTTTTTCCTAAAAACAGTCTTAATTGTCTTTCAACATCTCTGTCTGAGAGAAGAAGTGTACTGAACTTTTTTGAACACGAGAGCGACACACTCACTTTTTTCGTTAAGTATTTATAAGGAGTTATCATGGCAACCGCATCCAACAGCTGAAGCAGAACAACGTTCGTGTTCTGCCACCAAGTGTTTCCGACTGAATATGAGAATATTTTGTGC